CTTATGTATTGTAAAGTGTAGCACTTTATTTGAAAGCTAATTTAATTATTAATTTATTTCACAATAAAACAAATCATAATTTAATGATCCAGATTTCTAACGTTCAGATATATACAAATTCTAATCGCAATCAACTTAAATAATAAATTTATGCTACACATAAATCACTTATAAAAATATTGTTCAAATGAAGTGTAACACTTTACAAAACATAACAGTTTTTATCCATATAGAGAGCGCTAAAAAATCAACGTAATTAATAGTCATATTGTTGAATTCTCCATAAAATTACTTTTCAAATGAGGGACAGACGCTAACTCTGACCAAATAAAAAAATCGTAGGCGTCGGTATAGTTATAACATCCCATTTTAGCATGCGAGAGTATCAATTGACCGTCGACGTTACTTTTAGTGTAGCTTTATATAATTTATTATTAATAATAAACACATTTTGTCAATTTTGTTTAAAATAAATTTTTGCTGTACCTACTTTAGTAAAAAAATTAGTAAGGATAATTACAACATTCATTTTAGCTAAGAAAAATGTACATAATGTAACCTCTTGTGTAAACCATTTGAGTGTAAACCTTAGTTGTGATAATCAGAAGTTGTAGCTGTTTTGTTAATTTTACATCCTCATCTACGTAGACGTCTAAAATAATTTATAAGCATATATCTTGACAGATCAAAATTTCTAAAATACATATTAGCATTTCTCCATTTCTTCATGAGTGGAACAAACCTTTAATTATGTATTGAAAAATATCACACTTTCACCTCGATTTTCCCATAAACCAAGGCAACGTTTAGATAAACTCTCCCAATTTGGAGCATCCTGAGGTCTTAGAACTTTATTTGGCGCAGCAAGTTCTGCTAGCCAATAATTTATTTATTTGTTTCTGTTACTACTTTGTAATATGCCCGTCCACATACCTTATTATCTTTTAGATTTTAGGGTGGGTCTATGATGGTTTAAGCCTTGAATTATCAAACTGATCAATTAAAGAAGAATTAAACCAAGCAATCCATTAGTTATTTATATTGTACTGCTGATAATAGTGGCACCCAAAAGTTTATGGAAGTCAATGGAAGTAATCCTGAAGTCAGTTGAAGTCATCTGAAAGTCAGTGGAAGTCAGTGGAAGTCAGTGGAAGTCAGTGGAAGTCAGTGGAAGTCAGTTGAAGTCAGTAGAAGTCAGTGGAAGTCAGTGGAAGTCAGTGGAAGTCAGTGGAAGTCAGTGGAAGTCAGTGGAAGTCAGTGGAAGTCAGTAGAAGTCAGCGGAAGTCAGTGGAAGTCAGTGGAAGTTAGTGGAAGTCAGTGGAAGTCAGTGGAAGTCAGTGGAAGTCAGTGGAAGTCAGTGAAAGTCAGTGAAAGTCAGTGATAGTCAGTGAAAGTCAGTGAAACTCAGTGGAAGTCAGTGGAAGTCAGTTGAAGTCAGTGAAAGTCAGTGGAAGTCAGTGGAAGTCATGTTTAAATCATAGGAAGTCAGTGGAAGTCAGTGGAAGTCAGTGGAAGTCAGTGGAAGTCATGTTTAAATCATAGGAAGTCATTATGAAGTCCAAGAAAGTCCATAGAAATCCACGGAAAGTAAGTAAAAGACATGGAAATTTGGAAGTCTGGTGTATAAAATTTTGATAGCGGTTTACTTCTCGTAGAATTATTTCGACAGCGTTATGATGCGAATTGTGATGTCTAGCATTATTTCTTGAATGCCTATTGGGGCGAGCCGAGGTCAGCCACTTTTCCAGCCGTCTTTTCGCGTTTCCCAGTCCGCTGTTTTCACTGGTGACTGATGCGATCTCTTAAACGCATCTCGTTCGTGTAATTAATATGCGAATAAGAGTATTTTTTACGTAAACTGTCCTACTTTAATTTTGATTAGTTTTTTAACCTGCTACATTTTTTGTTTGTAAGTCCAAAAGGACTATAGTAAAAAAATCTTGAATGTTTTTATAAAATGTGAATCGCAGTTACTCATTGCATCCCCACAAAACAAGGCTCAGGATGTGGAATATACTCCAGATTCTTAAACCTAAACATAAAATGGGCTGTGAGCAATAGTGCCATGCAAATAGAGATAACGGGGATTATCATAGCAGCAAAAGAAATAATCAGAAACAATATCACTGGAAGGAACATGCTCATCTATACAGATAGCAGACAATCACTACTCACCCTGAACAGACCACGAATTTATTCAGGGTTAATACTAGAATGTCACGAAGCTTTGACCGAAGTATCCCTCAACAACGTGGTCACCTTAAGATGGATTGAAGCTCACGCCACATCGAAAGGTAACCGTCTTGCTGATTCACTAGCCAAGAAAGCAGTTAACCAAATACTTGTTGGACCTGGCCTTTCTATTGGCCTGAAAAAATCGATAGTGACAGACCTAATCAAAGAACATTTCCTTGTGAAATTCAAGGAAAGATGGGATGAAACAAGAAACTGTAGAGTTGCTAAGGAGCTCTTAAGTTATCCTGACAACACTGCAGCAAACAAATACTTGACTATGACTAGACAGAATCTGCGCCCACTCACAAGCATTCTGACTAGTCATTGCCAAGTACGAAAGCATCTCCATATCATGGGGCTGTTAGAATCCGCACTCTGCAGAGGGTGCGAACAAGAATATGAGACTATCGAGCATATCCTTTACGATTGCTCGATGCTCTCAGTTATTAGAAGATTTGTGTTCGGCGAGTATCGGCTAACACCGGCTGATATAAGAGAAGCACCTCTTGGCGACGTTGTCAACTACATTAAATCTGTAGGCTGGCTCACGAGCTAGGAGGTGCCTATCTTCTCAGGAGGATGCACAATGGGCCTAATGAGGCCTAAGTGCCGTGGGGTAACCCACCCTCCACACGTTACAGATACAGATTGATCAGAAGATATGTTGAAACGCCTAGCATTTGAATGTAATACGCAAAAATCTGCAGCCCATTTTCGGCGGCTGATGTAGCCTAATGTAGCATTTATCTTAGACATAAGATTTTTCTAATCTTGACCTGATTATTTATAATTCGAGAGATGCAAAATTGGTGGTTCCTACCTTATCGAGACTAAGGTCCCCACGGGCAAACTCGTACCATAAAAAACAGAAACAATGTGATTTTGAACGAAAGACCGAAATACCGTGAAAAGTATTAAGAAGTTGAGTTTTCACTGGTTTTTTGGAAAAATTTTATATCGCTTTTTTATTAAAGTTTATAAATTGTTTGAACAATTTATGTAAAAATATTTGGGCGCTTTACTCTTGAAGGTGGCGTCTGGCCATATCTCGAAACTGTTTATCTCAAAAATTTTGCATTTGTTTTACAATATCGTTAAAGAAAAAAACTTAAAAATGTTATAACTTTGTAACTTTCCGGTATGTCACGTGATATATCACATACAAAATATAATTGTATTTTCATAAAAAAAATCTATATAATTTTAAACAATATTTTAAAATGTGATGTTTCATTATTTTTCTGTTTTTTTTTTCTTAAGGTTTTGGCTTTGGTAATTATATCCATTTGCCGCAGATAAGATTTTTCTGTGTTGGTTGTAGAGGTTTTAATGTAAAGAAAACAATTCCTATAGGTAAGTCAATGATTACATGCAGTTTAGATACTAAAAATCAGTCATTTTTCGAGTAATTTAAAACAACTCCGTTTCTTAAGATGTCTTTACAACCCCTACGTTTATATACGCATATACGGCAGGTTTTTATGGGCAAACGCCACAGATAAGATGGCGAACACCATCCTTAAGCCTGTTTATCTAAAAATATTTGTTGTAAATATTAACTTACTGACCTAAGTTAAATTATAAATCAAAATAAAGAATTATTTCATTTTTCTCTAGAATATTGCCATATTATTATCCTGTATTCTTTGAAGGTGTTATGAAAATAAATAGTTATTACGAGTATAGGTACACGTCAAATCCTCTGACATTTATAAATAATAGCTAACTTCATACCAATCTGATACTTTTATTCATCATTTCATTTTCTTATTAAAGCTTGTTAGTAGGTTATTTTGCCTATATGAATATAAATATTTTAGTTTTCCTACATAAAATCATGACAATGTCGTGTAATATCAGTGTTTTGGTTATTTTGTGCTGATTTAGGGTGGAACCAGAATCATTACTTATTGTAAGTTCACTAGAAGAATCTATTTTTATATACCCAACCTTCCTTCCTTCGATATAAACTGTCAAAAGCAATGTACTGTGATGTAATATATTCTGAGTATACTTTAATTTTTGTTACTCACTCTTTTTCTTTTTATAGCCTGAATTTTCAAAAATGTTTACCCAAAATTGCCAAATTGTTGATAGGTCTCCCTTGACTACCCCATTACCAAGAAAAGAGAAACAAAACACAAACTAATATTACTAATTCCTATTGACTAAATAGCCTAATAAAATGTTTATAATTTTGTGACGTAATTTCTATTATGATATTAATAATTTATGTTTAGTAATTGATTCAGTTATTGCTAATAAAAACCTTTAAAATTTTAATTCTGAACTTTAAAAATATTTATACTATTTTCTTTATTTTTCAAATTTGCTATTAAATTTTATTTATATTTATAATCAAGTAGAATGATTTAAATATAACCGTCAAATCACTTCAAATCTTTAGGTGACATACGGGGTTGCTCTTTCTTGATTATTATTTACCTAGTTTGTTTGCCCGTATATTGTTTATCTTATTTTTTTACATTTATTCATATTCCTATTGTATCTTTCCCAAATTATATTTCTTCACAGTAAATACCTATACCGATTTTATTTTTATTCGTTTTCTTTTAACAACTGGTGATATATTTTAATGAACTTTTCGTTACCAGTTACATACTGTTAAATTTGCTGCGGTTACAAAAAATGTCACTTTTTATGTCAAGATTAGAATAATATATCTTTACACTAAAATTATAAAAAAAAATATGCTTCTAGTTTCACAGTCTTTATTAAAATAATTTAATAATTTATTTACAATGTCACAACAGGTTAATAACTAAATCAATTTAGTGGTAGTATGATCCATGGGCCAATGGCGCGGCATATTGGACTGGAGCAGCGAATTTAGCTACAGGGGCGGCATAAGCTACTGGAGCAGCGACTTTTGCTACAACGGATTTAACAGCAACCTGGGCTGGTTCATTGTGAACAACAGCGTTGAAACCATTGTGGGCGTCGGCGGTGTATTCTACAATACGTTTGCTTCCATCGGCTTCAACAAGGGAGTAGCTTCCATGAACGACATCACCATGACGGGATTCTTGTTGGCTTTTGCTGTCTCCGGATTGAGGGTCGTTTACGGCGTATCCAAAATCGTAGTTAGCTGGTGCTTCGGGTTCGCCGATGATGGTTTTGTGTACTGGTGCGGCGTAGGCTACTGGAGCGGCTACTTTGTATGCTGGGGCGGCATAGGATACAGCAGGAGCAGCATAATTGGCTGGGGCAGCGTATGCGACTGGTGCAGCTAGTTTGGCATAAGTTGGAGCAGCAGCGTAGGCTACTGGAGATGATACACTTGAGTATGACACAGATGGGGCTGAAGAGTATGCTACTTTAGCGATAGGTGCAGCATACTGAGCTGGGGCAGCGTATGCAACTGGGGCAGCTACTTTGGTATAAGATGGGGCAGCAGCGTAGGCTATGGGAGCTGATACGCTGGAGTATGATACAGCTGGGGCTGATGAGTATGCTACTTTTGCGACAGGTGCAGCGTACTGCACTGGTGCATAATGAGCTGGGGCAGCGTTCGAGACTGGAGCAGCTAGTTTAGCGTAAGATGGGGCAGCGGCGTAGCCTACTGGGGCTGATACGCTGGAGTATGATACATCTGGGGCCGACGAGTATACTACTTTAGCGACAGGTGCAGCGTATTCCAATGGTGCGTGGTAGGTTTCTGGAAGAAATCCAGCTTGAGCTACTGCCAAAAAGGCTGCGAAAGAAATAATCTGAAAACAAAAAGTTACTTTAAAAACCTGATATAAAATTAAAAAAAGTATGTTCTGTACGCACCATTTAAAACTAAATGGTTGAATTAATGAAACAATGATAAATTTATAAAATATTCTGTCCTAGTTAATATTATTCAGAGAGTTCTTGAAAACAGATGAATAGAAAAAATATATAATTTGTTCAGATCTTGTTTGTTTTGTAAGTTTTAGGTTTTATGATACTTTAAGTAAGTGAAGCAAATCTTTAAATCCTTTTATTATATCTAAATAAATATTTTTAAGTAACTTAGTTGTTAAGTTTTTGAATTTGTTATTTTTTATATCCTTATACTCAAAACTTTTTTGTGTTTTGTTATTTTATAATATGTAATAAATTGTATTAAAAAGCAGTTGTTAGTATAGTATATTCTCATATGATAATACTCGTAAATAGACTATATATCTAGTTTTTGCACTGTCATTTCATTTATCTAAATGATTTTAGTTCTCAAATTATATACTCAAAATAAGAAGATAAAATTTTACCAATCATTTCTGTAAAACAATAAATAAAACTGTAAGTTTTAATAATGTTATTATATTTTTTTTAAATTTGTAATTTAAAGAGTATCCGACGCGACGGTGTCAAAGTTTCGGTATTCCTATGAAGCCCCTTCAGGTGACAGCCGTACCTTTTTACTATTAAAAAACTCAAAACAATAAGGTATGTCAAAATCAATTAAACTAATGCAGCGGCATTGCTAATTTAAAATAGATCACTTTTATTAAGTTAATAAATACTAATTAGCTCGCATAAAAAATATAACAAATGCTGTACGAAATAATCAGGCTAATTAGATATGTAAAGGAATTTGACTTACTTTGAATGACATGTTTGGTGGTCAAATGTATTTTGATAATTTTATGAACGGTCTGCGGTATATATACCGAATTCGTTTGGCCTAAGGAATAATATGAGATCACTTTCACTGAACGTATCAATGAAAAATGCTACACAATACACAATCATATATGTTGTTGTTAAAGTAAACTGTTAACTTTGAGAAAACCTCGGAGGAAACCCATTTTGTTTATTTTTATAGTCATAAATCGTCTTTACCCCCCTTTAATCAAATGTCATTTCTTTCAAAATTTAAGTATTTTAAAATATTTCTAGATATTCCTTATTTGAAAATAATTATTCTCTTGTTCAGTCGATGTTAACTATGGTTAGGTACTTGTATGGGATAGAATTCTCCAAATCAATCTCAAATGATGTTTTACAAAAAAATCTTAAAAATTATTTTAAATAAAAAATGAACTTATCTTTAATCTCTGTTTATTGAAAGTAAAGTGATGGATATCGATACACATATTTTTCTTTTTATTTATCTAAATAAATAAATAAAATAATTATGTAATTTCAGAGACTAGTAGAAAACAATTGCATGCAGATACCAGGGATACTTATTTTAAACTCCAACAGTCGAAGTTGGGACAAAGGAACCGTAAAATATTCAACAATAGCACATAATAATATGTATTTTACAATATAGTATGGTGTAGGTTTAAACTTATTTTGACTTTGCCTCTAAACTTTTGTGTCACAAGCTGAATTTTTCAGGGTTGAAAGTACATGATAAACTAACTCTTATTCCGGGGGTAATAGAATATTAGACAGTGCAAAAGGGCACTATCATAAAAAATCGAGATATTGATACCACCGTATCTATAGAGAAAAAAAATACAAATTTTTTGGTCTAATGCACAATTAGGACTTTGTAGAGAGTATTTTTTATAATTATTTAAAGGTAAATATCTCGGTTTCAACCGTCCACTAACTTGGTTAAAAAATCTTCTTTTAGAAATATACCTTTTATTTGACGAAAAACGAAGGCCTAAACGAAAAAAAATATTCATCATAAAAGTTTCGCCTATGTATTGACAAGGTAAGAGTGCTCTCCCCATATTTTTTACTTTTAAATTAACAAAAATATAGCAATAAACAATTAGTGATGTCATTGTTTTACAAGAAAGCAATCATATATGTTGTTGTTAAAAAAAACTGTTAACTTTGAGAAAATCTCGGATGAAACCCATATTGTTTATTTTTATAGTCATAAATCGTCTTTACCCCCCCCCCCCCCCTTTAATGAAATGACCCTTCTTTCAAAATTTAAGTATTTTAAAATATTTCTAGATATTCCTTATTTGAAAATAATTATTCTCTTGTTCAGTCGATGTTAACTATGGTTAGGTACTTGGATGGGACAGAATTCTCCAAATCAATCTCAAATGATGTTTTACAAAAAAATCTTAAAAATTATTTTAAATAAAAAATGAACTTATCCTTAATCTCTGTTTATTGAAAGTAAAGTGATGGATATCAATACACATATTTTTCTTATTATTTATCTAAGTATAAAAGCCGTAGTTTGCTACCATAAATAAATTAAATAATTATGTAATTTCAGAGACTAGTAGAAAACAATTGCATGCAGATACCAGGGATACATATTTTAAACTCCAACAGTCGAAGTTGGGACAAAGGAACCGTAAAATATTCAACAATAGCACATAATAATATGTATTTTACAATATAGTATGGTGTAGGTTTAAACTTATTTTGACTTTGCCTCTAAACTTTTGTGTCACAAGCTGAATTTTTCAGGGTTGAAAGTACATGATAAACTAACCATTATTCCGGGGGTAATACAAAATTAGACAGTGCAAAAGGGCACTATCATAAAAAATCGCCTAGGGTAAAGTACGGATAGATGCCGCAGGGGAAGAGATGCCGCAGATCACGTGATGCCGCAGATCACGTGATGCCGAAACTATGTGTACTCAAAAAAACGGTCGGCGGCATCCAAACGCTATTTAGCCAGTATTGTTCTGTCTGTGGTTGGTGTCTTGATTAAGCACGTGTTTAGGCGAGAATTGTGTGAATAAAGTTGGTAAGGTATACTTTTATTGCTTAAAATTTATTTGTAAGCTATTAATAGTATTGGGGAAGTTAGTTTAAAATTAAAGAATTGGATCATTTTACTTTTATAGAATTATATAGGGCATATTTAAGATTTTCTTTTGTATTTTCGGCTACAGATTTATTAGGCGCAGGCGTGGCCGGGAGGAATCTATCCGTATATTTTTTAGATTAACTTTACCTACTATGCCGAGAAAATATTTTCGAAAGCCTTCAGATAGACCAAGAGGGTCCTATACAGAGGAACAACTAGCTACTGCTATAGAAAAAGTTCAATCTGTGGAAATTTCTAAGCGTGAGGCAGAAAGAAGGTATGGCGTTCCTGCGCGAACAATAGACAGAAGAATTAAATTGGAAAAGGATCGCTGGGCCCGGAAGGTATTTTAACTTTTGACGGATTACAAAATTTTTAGGTAATGTTTACTCTATTGTAGGGGTTCTTGGAAAAGAGAATGAGAGAAGATTAGCTGCTCATATCAAAAAATTGTGTGCATCTGGATTTGCTCCTGATCGAAACGCAGTAAGATCTATGGCTTTTCATTTTGCAGAAAAGCTTAAAATCGAGCATAAATTTTCCAAAGAAGATCAAAAAGCTGGCAAGCAATGGTTAAGATCTTTTTTAGAGAGAAACCCAGATCTTTCAATCCGACAGGCCGAAGGACTTTCTTTAGCAAGAGCCAAAGGAATGAATCGAGGTGAAGTAGGAAAGTTTTTTGAACTATTGAGGAATATCCTAAGTGAAAATAATTTGATGGATCGACCAGCCAATATATTTAATATGGATGAAGCAGGGGTTCAAATTATAAATAAACCATCTAAGGTTTTGGCTCCCAAAGGTGCAAAGGATGTGCATGTCTTGACGTCTCGTGAACGCGGTGAAAATGTAACCGTAATAGGATGTTGCAGCGCTGAGGGGACGTTCCTTCCGCCGGTACTGATTTTAAAAGGAGTTAATAGAAAACAAGAGTTTGCCGATGGTTTGCCTGCTGGATCTTCTGTCCAAATGAACAAAAAATCATCATTTATAAATTCCGAGATTTTTTTGTACTGGCTTAGAGAACATTTTATTCCAAGGAAGCCAGCAGGTAAAACATTACTTATTATGGATGGACATTCATCTCATTGTTCAGATGTTGAAATGCTGGAGCTTGCAAACCAAAATGACATAGTTTTATTATGTCTACCAAGTCATTGTACTCAAGCACTGCAGCCATTGGACAAATCGTTTTTCGGTCCTCTTAAGATCTATTGGAATCAAGAAGCGAAAACATGGATGCTTAACAATCCCAGCAGAAACTTGTCGAGATACCAAGTAGGAAAAAGTTTGGGAAAAGCGTGGATGCGGGCTGCCACAGCAGCAAATGCCATTTCTGGATTTAAAGGTACCGGCATCTATCCACTTGATGAAAACGCTATTCCTGATCATTTCTTTGCGATCGCCGATGAAGCAACAGGAAATGCAGACCAAAATAATGTTTCCCGTGAGGAAACAAACGAGAATTCAAATGAAATATCTTTGCCTCCAAGGGAAACAACTCCAGATCGCCAGTCTGGTGATTCAACATATTTGGACCATGAACTCCTAAATCAAGATCAAAATGACAATCATACCCGACAAAAAAATAATGATTTCCTGGAGCCCCAGCCAAGTACATCGAAGAGTTTAGAGGACGACATAAGTCCCAGTAAGTTTTTAAAAGAAATACAGCCCATTCCAAAAATTCCATTATCATTTAACAAACGGAAACAGTCGGCTACAGAGCTAACTTCTCCTGAGAATATTTCAGAAAAGAAATATAAAACAGAGAAAATTACTAAATCAAAAGTAAAGAATAAAAATAATAATAAAGTAAAAATAGTAGCAATAAAAAAAAACTAAAGAAAATAAAGACAAATGACACATCCGAAATCGAAGATGAGATTCCTATATCCGATTTAAAGAAATCCCAAACTCCTGAATTAGCCAAGCAAGATAATAACAAAAGATACTATTGCGTGGAATGTTTTGAGGATTACAGTAAAACTTCCAAAACAGTTGACTGGATTTGCTGCATAAGATGCAACAACTGGTTGCATGAGACATGTACCATGTACTTGAACACTTGCAATCTATGCAAACATGCGGAATTAAAAGAAAGATTTACGGCATCTCTCCCTTATGGGAATTAACATTGGGCATCTCTCCGCACGGTTGTTGGCATCTCTCCCTACCGAGAGGGAGAGTTGCCGGAAAATTCAATTTTTTTTAGTATTTTTTTTTCAGCAGTAGAGTATTTTTTATGTTGTTTAAAGGTTAATATTTCAAAAAAAAAATAGATTATAGAATGATTATATGTTTTTTGAAATACAAATTTTTTCTTAACCGAGTTTTTACATTTTTTTTTTTTTACAAAAAGTGCGGCATCTATCCGTACTTTACCCTATATATTGACAAGGTAAGAGTGCTCTCCCCATATTTTTTACTTTTAAATTAACAAAAATATAGCAATAAACAATTTAGTGATGTCATTGTTTAAGAAAGCAAGCATTGAACGCAGAGTCCGTCGACTCTTAATGCGTCTCTCTCAGTGCTGAAATGTATGCAATTTGTTTGACTCTCTTACATTATTTTCTACAGGGATTATTGATTTATCCGCTATGAAGGTGAATAATGTTTTATAGGGTCTATTACTTCATGATTTTTTTTTTTTTTGAGGAAAATAAAAAATAAGGAAATACAAACTATTTATTAAAGGTATAAGCACAGTATATATAAGTATAGATTATAAACAGTAACGCTTTGCAGAGTACGATAAATTCCTAATAAAAAAAATAATTAGAATTATATAAAGCATAAATTAATAATATTAAAAGATATAAGTAAAAGACTTGCAAACTAATCAAAATCAGATTCACCATACGAATCAA